CTTCTCTCTTAATTAGTACTAGAATAGTTGAACTAATAGTTGAATTCAACTTTCAAGTTTGATACTACTGCTCCTATGAACATAGAACAATCGACAATTCCTATTGTGATTCGTTCCTGAGCGTGGGCTAACTGTCTAATTAGCGGTAGTGAACATAAAATTTGCTGTTCTGTCCAATGGTAGTCCTCATGATACAGGTCTTCAAGGAAAAGCTCTGACTTTTGCTTGAAATACTGGTTCCAGATTCGAATTTTACTACTGTTTTCTGCCCAGATGGTTCAGCTAGTAAGATATAGTATAACAGAAAATGTGAGTATAATAACGATTGTTTCAGTGATCTTTATTTTTAAAAAATGTTCAATGTTGAATCTCTTTAATGTTTAGATCAGATAAAGTTGAATCATTTGGAAACGTTCATGTCCATGCTTGACGAATAGTATTGTGATTACGAAAATAAATCCTTACAGCATTCCAAATTACAATACACAAATCAATAGTTAGACTACCATAAAGACCGACTAGTGTTGTTGTAGTGTACAAAAGACTTTTGCGCCTAACATATTCATAACGACATACACTGGATGCACACATGGCATAGTAATTTTCGTAGTTGATAACTCGATCCAATTCTTCGATAAATAATTCATCGATTATTGTTCCGATCGGTGTGGTAGGTAGAAAACATGAAGGTACTGAACTGTTAAGTGACATTATGATCATAGGAAGTGTTGTTGGTATAGTGAAATTGACTGGTGGTGAACCATCGATTTGTATATAATATTCCAAGTAATTTAAGATGGTCAAGATACAATGTGATGAATAAAAACATTCAAGTGTCGAGAGATGTAAATCATCCATAGGTGAACAGACAATTACAAGACCTGATGATACTAGATTAGGAGGACCGATTCGTAAGGATTGTTGACATGTGCTGGAAACAGCACAATTACAAGTGTTATCGAGAAAAGTACGAGAAATGCTTCCTAAGAGAAAGTTGTTTGATTCGTGTCCATATTCCAAAGTCCAATCTGTTGTGTTAAAAGTTGTCACGATGAAATTTATATTAAATAATCCAAGACCAGTTTTCATTATATGTTTAATGTCAGATTTCAATAAGTTGATAGATTCCTCAACTGTTTTATTTATTGTTTTGATAAATGAATTGCATGATAGTACTGTAGAAGTCATTTTCTTCTGACGAAGTCTAATTAGTTTCAACTGATTCTTTATTATTTACACTGACTTTGCAATATGAATCGAGATATCCTTATGTTAATTATATCTACATAAATATAAATTTATAACTTAACAAAAAAAAAAAACAATCTGTCTTCTATTTTTCAATAGAGAAATTATAAAGAGAATATCAAACAACGAATATCATCATAGTCTATTTTGATATAATTAATTCTAAATATAGAGAACAGTTTAGAGATCTTCATTCTACAAAATAATTATTTGAATATAGCTGCTCAATAATAATCACAATGTAAGAATTATCACAAAATTAGTATTATTTTTTATTTTATGAGAAACGTTTTTTTAGTAAAATGTAGTATACAGTTTGTTTTTAACATGTCGTTTTACCATTCATATGCTTTTAGAAGTATACAAAATGCCACGCTATTGATTCTTTATAAAACATTGCATTATTACCATTCGGTAAACTTTTCTTCTAATAGAAACCAGTGATGGGATCGGTTCGTGTTTTTTGGAACCTAACCGAATCGAACCGAACCAAACCGATCGAATTTTTCAAAATTTTGAACCGAACTGAACCGAACGGAACCGAATTCGAAACTTAAGGAGATAAAGAAGGTTTAAAAGCTTTTATTTTTTTCTAAGAATATTCCTCTAAAAACCTTTATTGAAGACATGCTTAAAACGTCATTAATAATTTTAAAAACGAACTAGAAATTTGTAGTAAAAATAATGTTAAGAATATGGATATTTTCGTTTTTAGAATAAAAGAAATTACGGATGATTGAAGACTAGTTTATTTTCAGTGGTTAGTCAATTTATTCCGCTAATCAAGAGCCATTCAAGGTACTTTTTGTCGTCGTTCAGTGCAGATATATAGAGATCACATTTTTTATGGTATATCCATTTTAATAAAACAATATTAAGTAATACTTTATAATAATTATTTACCACCTTATTAAATCCAGTTTTACTCTCAACTTACAAGACTTATATGACAAAGAGAACCTAAAATTGAGAGAAATAATCTACCCATCATTTGAAAAATGGACAATTCCAATGACATTTTTAGGCTTTGCTTATCGATCTATTTCGAGATATCATTTAGATGATATTTTCTTAACTTAAATGTTCATGGTTATATATTCCTTGAACCTTAAAAAAGAAAGTAATGTTATCGTTATCAACTAAGAATTATTTCAACACGATAGTTAATTGATACTTATATATATATATAAGTACTTCATACGGAAATGTAGTCTGTAAAAGGACGCACTGACTGAAACTAATGAGTAGTCGAGTAAAAATAAGAAATTTGCTACACTTTCTTTATCCATTGTTAGTATATATATTTGTTACAGAGCTCTTTCTCTGTGATGAAACTTGATGTTTGTAAAATCTTCGGTTCAATTCAGCCGAAATTCAATTTTATTCAAATTATTATCTTTCCTTTTCTTTTTTCTTTTACATATACATATATTTTCATATATAAGAGAGAGAGAAATATATAAGTGAAATACAAGGAGCGAGATAAATAAGTATCCTCTACTCCAGCCTAGACCATTTTATACAAAGAAGATGACGTCCAATGTGTTCTTCTATTGGAATGCCCTTACATTTAGAACAGAAGAAAAGAGTAATAATTTATTAAAACTGTGACGGCCGAATAGGAAAGTAGGAGAGAAAAGAGGAAGAGAGAAATAACAGGAGAAAAGAATAAGAAATAAAGATGTATTTTAGAGCATTCTAACAAAGTTAACTATATTTAAAGGGTGTGGGTGTGGGTGTGGGTGTGGGTGTGGGCGTGGGTGTGGGTGTGGGTGTGTGGATGTGTGTGTGGGTGTGGTTGTTATTGAATAGAACTTTGACACCCACACCCTGTGTCGTTTGTTTTAAGATTTCCGATTACCTATTTACTGTTTAATGAATCGATTGAATACATAACTCAAGGTCTAAATACGAATATCAATATGATTCGCGAAAGAACAACAGATCCATGCTTAGGCGATTTTATCCTTTAAATTAATTTGTTAAAGGTACATAAAAACATATGAAAAAAAAACAATAGTTTAAGGGTAGTATTCAACAAAAAATATTATTCTATGGAGGATCAAAGCCATCAAAATTCTATACATGTCATGGTACGATTTATGCTAGCGAACACTTCATTTGTATCTGAATCTTACTGTACACCAGATTTCTTTGGCTCCCAAATTTTCAAAAAACTGAACCTAAATTCCGATGTCTTCATGAAAAATATTTGAACCTAGATCCTACTAAAATTCCATAGCATCTGAATAGAAAACGAGCAGAATCGAAAATCTAAGAAGGATTCATAATTGTTTCGAGATTCTTTATTGCACTGTGAACTAATGAATAGTCTTTTTTTATTCTACGAATAACTAAATAGTATCAAATAAAAATAATCACTATTATGCGTTGGACTAATAATCTTTCAAAAGTATTCATGAAAAATAAGAATTTGCTTTGCTACTCATAAAATTCAATTGACATTTGACGTATTTCACATAACTTGATAATATAGCAAATATACATTTAAATCGAATTTAGATTTGGGATCAATGAAAGAAAATTGATATTTAATTTCTTGCTTTTCTGTAATATTCATGAAATGCACTGATATATAGAAAAGCAAGTGGCTACACTACACTCTAACAGATTTACCTTGTTACTCATTGCTCTCAGAAAAGTCTCCAAGAACGAAACTGTAATTCTGCTCTATTTACAACTGACTGAATATTGTTTTCACAACGAATATTCTCAACTGTAGGATATATTTAAGATGTATGTAAGACATTAAAACCAATCATGAACACTTATTCTAGTATTGCGCTAGTCCTATCAACTGATTAGGTCGGCTTATTGATTTTATGTGAATTCAAAGGATGAGTTCTAGCAATGGGAATTCTCTTATATCTATTTATCTGTCTTTAACATTTGGAAAACATGAAACAGTCATCCATACAAATGACCTTATCAACGACAAAATAACCGTAAGATAATCATTTATACCAAATTCTGCAAAGGGTATGTACGTGAGCGTTGATATCTTTATTCTCTCACACCCTCACCCAACCTAAAAAGTAATTTTTTTCAACATTGGATGTTTTAAATAGTTAAAGTAAACAAACAACATAATCTAGAAATCATTTTCTTTAAGAATAAAAAGACGATAAAAAGATGTATAATGCATCACATAGACAATTAAACAATCGAGCGACAGCGTTATTTAGAAACTTGTTGACATGTCTTTTGATTTCGATAAAAAATTCGATCAGCTTATTGAAAGAAATATTATGATCAAAGAACAAGTTAAAACAAAGGAAGAACAAATGTGATTTAAATTGAGTGTTTTGTAATACTTTAGATATAACAAGAAATTATGCAAATAAGTGTTACTTTGAATAAATTCTAGTGAATAGTTTCATGTACAATGTATTTAATATTAAATATCGAAAACAATTATCGTTTATTAAAGATTAATCGTTGTTTATTTTCGTTTTACCAGATGCCTATGATAAAAAATAAACAAAGTACCTGAAATAAGACTCTCCCATTATGGAGATGGATAAATTAATGGATTTTTGCTTGTGTGGAGCTCCTCGCACAACTATATCACAAGCATTTCGTTCGAAATTGACCGCCAAGGATCAATTAGCACAAGATAAAAAGATCAAATCAATGCTAGAAGAATTCTTTCAATAGGAACTGTTCGTTCTATGATCAATGATTAAATACAACAAAAACAAACATAGTTTTATCGTTTATCAAAAGGTTCATCATGGATTCGCCAATGTCATAACTTCACTTGCTGTGATTTCTCTCGAATAGAGTCGAAATTCATCGAGAAGTCCGTAATATTGTCCCATTAATATGACATTGCTTGCCTGTACAACACATGGTGTCAGTGGAAAGTTGCCGAGATACATGTAGTTAGGTGCACTACTTGACATATATGTAAATGACGTTGATTGACTGTATAAAGTACCGTTCAAATACAAACGTATACCATTACATGTGCTGTAAGTGTTTACAACATGAGTCCACACATTTGTCGATAAAATAGGACCGGTTAAACTGATAAGACTACCAGAATTAAGATATCTAAATGATTGTATTACAATTTCACCACTCGAGGAAAAGCCCATGTATGCCAAACACCAGTTTATACCACAATTATTATTACATTTCGATACATGAATTATAGTACCGCCACTAACCGATGTTGGTTTTATCCAAACAGATATTGAATAAGGTTGGTTATCAGTGCCCAAGAGTCTTAATCCACCAAAAGTATAGTAAGATGACAATATCGTGAATGAAATAGCGTCAGAAACTCGACCGGAGCCCACCGCTGCAGCCACATTTACAGTTGAGCCATTGATACCCAATGGTCCCGAGTCATAGGTCGAATTTGAATCAAACGAATAATAACATACGAGACTAGCATCAACTAAAATTTCACTCGCAGCTTTGGCTCGTGTCACAACTAATACTTGATCAAGATAGCCGTCAAAAAATCCGTTTGGAGTATTGTTGTAAATTGCACCGATCATAATTGCTCCGCTCATGCCCTTATAGAAACTTGATGTACGACTATTGTCCAGAAAACCATTCAAATAAATAGATTGAGTCGAAGTAGAATAATCGTACACAAAAGCCACATGATACCAAGTATTAATGGCTAGAACAGTTATACCAGTCAGATCGTCTAAACATATCGAATGGTACGAAAAAAAATTTCATTCTTGAAGATAGAAAATGTTGTTTTTGTGCAGAAAAATTGCTTACCTGAATAGAAACCTTGCACGAGACGAAAATCTCTGATAACATAATAGAGAGATTGATCCGTTGAGAGTGTTTGAGATTGACCAAACAAGCCAAAAGTGCTTGTAGAAAGAGTAGTCGGATAAATCCACATTTCAACAGTGAAACTTCTATAGGTCAAATTGAGAAATGGACTGGATACCGTGACATACTGCGATAAAGTAGTGTTAAATCGCAGAGCTTTGCTGGTCAAGCCAGTATAGCCAGTCACATAGGTGGGCCCGTTTATAGCGACTCCATTATAGGTATTTTACATGTCATTGACATTGTTATCAAATGACCAGAATGCAGTTACGACTGTAGCATTGCTAGTGGCTATAAAGAGAAAGTCTCGTTAAAAAGTCTGGCTAGATCATTTTTCAATAATGCAAACACATCGATTACTCATTAAATTAAAATACGGATATTCTTCTTTATGACAGTAGAGTACGATAGGGTGAATATATAGAGATTTCACCACTTTTGTATTGCAAACTTCGTATCTTCTCCATTTTTCAAGACTTCAAAACATTTCTACATACTTTGTGCGTAGAGCAAACATTTTTCTACAAATTCGTGTTTTCGATTTTACAGAATCTCCTCAGCTAGCCTAGCTACATCGATTTTCTTAAGACCTACTTCACTATTTTATATTTATTCCGCAGTCGTGCAATTGTATAATCGTACTGATCCTAGGGAGTAAATGTGTAATCAAGTCAGGATGCGCGAAGTTAATGTATAAACCCAATCGCTTTCTCTGAGATCGTTACAACCTAATGTGGGCACAATTCGAACGACATATCAAGTTGCGTCGGTGGACAAAAGTGTTCAATTAGTTGAGCACTGCAAGACTAACTGTTTCTTCAACTCTGGCAATGTATCTGTCTTCTTGTACAGTCAAAATATTAATACATTGACTAACTCGGGTGTTGACCAATTCCAAAAGATCAGGATCAGAGCTCGAAACGGGCTATCGTGAAACTACATCTCCTAAATTTTCTCCGTGTAAAAGCTTTACAATGAAAATATTTGTATCGAGGATGTATATGCATGATAATCCAGATAATTTTTCATGACGGATATGTTGGATAGTATGAACGAAGAACAAACTGATTCCTTTTTTTTCTAAAGCAATTGTTATTTTTTTTGTATTCCTAGTGATTCTCATTACTTCTGGCAGTTTCCAATACTCTGAAATTTGATCAATGATGTCTATGTTTTTCATGCCAACTCGTATAGTACACCTAAGATATGGTTCTTTGGTTTGTAATAAAGTATAATCTGATTCTAACTGATATTCAATAAGAGTGGACTAAGTTTTTTTTGATTTTCTTAAAGATTAGAAGCATATTCCAAATATTCTCTTAGCTCATATGATAAAGAAATTTTTGCTCTTCGAAATACCAACTTTGTTTTTCAGATATTTGCCTAACTGAGACAGTTTACAAATTAAAATTGTTAAAAATCTTTTCTGGATAAGAACTATATCGAAAGTTTGAGTTAACTGAAAAAAATTCTCAATCGGTCGATTTATGTTAACAACTTTTTGAAAAAATAGCGGATCCTTAGCAACGTTTTTTCTTGTTTCGAAGCAACCTAAATATTTTCTTTGTTCACTTTAAATTTCAAACCATTCTCTTCAGACTTGAACTCTGCGCAAGATGGTATGCTAATAAAACTTTGATAGTGCGCATCTAATTTTGAAACCAATACTTTTAAGAGCGTATATAAAAAAAAATGTTTCCAGGTGCTTGGAAATTGTAGTCAGTTGTCGGAAAGCTATGGATTTTCGTCTTTAATTGTTTCTCGATATTAAAAGTCAAATATATTATATATTTTAGCAGTATACAATGATTGTTTTTCCCTTGATGAAGATCATACTCGTTCTGTCTCATTCTTTTTTTCATATACATCCATTAATACAACAGAATAAAAGGAAGCGGCGAATTACAGCGGATTTTGGCTCAAAAAATTTTTCTCAGAGCGCGGCGGAGATCGAAAAATTCTTCCAGTTTCGGGCTTTGATATGTAACAGAAGAGCGTGTAATCTCTTTGGGAATTTATTAGACACCGTCATAAATTTTAATGAGATGATATTTTATATCATTTGCACTTTTTATTTTCAGTTCATTAGAATGGATGCATAATCTTATATTGGACTCTCTTAATGTTTTTACAAAATGCACTCCTTTAATTCCATGATGGATTTTGAGGTGGAACAGCGGTTTCTAATGTCCTAAGAGACTGAATGACTTCTGAACTTCGCTTTCCTTTCAATGCTTTCGTATTCATCATATGTCAAATGCGCGAGAAGCAATTAAAATTTATAGAATAGTAGGCTTTACTATGTAAAAGACATTATTTTCAAAGTCACTATAGCTATTGAAACTTCGATGAAGTTTTTACAGTAAAGAATTTCAGTATTTACCCACAGTCGTCGATGTTTGCTGTGAGGACGTTAGCCAAAGTGTCATCACAATAGCCAATGCCAAACCAGCTGTGACTATACTTAATAATATACCCTGAAAAAATGGTGACCATGCACTGCAGTATTCTGATAGTTTGCTTGATGATGTCTCTCTTAAACAATACGAATATGATGTACATCTAAACTTAATAGATTACTAATTCGCTTTACTTTCTGTTTTTCTGGTCGTTTGATTGATGTTGATTAACATCGGCAGTATAAGTATCATATGGAATGATTTTATTTTTGTTTGTCGTTTTCAATAAATCTTGATGGCGAGATAGATCAGTTTGTGTTGTCGACCATTCATTCATTTGTGGCCATTGAGAGCTCATTCTAACTGTAGTGATTTTTATTCTTTATGACAAATGAATTGATTAAAAAAATAACATTCTATTCTCGCCTTATCGTTATAAAATATATTCTATAGCATAATTTAAAGCATTCATAGAGCATCTTTCAATTTTTCAGCTCGATGCTTGACAGAGAAGACTTGGAGAATAATAATTTGCATTTTATTATGGAGAAAAAAAATTGTTTTATTTTGCGAAACCCACGTATTTTTTCGAAGAGAATAGTGAGTGTAAATTTTAAGTCAAGGCTTTACGACTCCCCCTTGTCCCTACAGATCTTAAATCGGAGTCAAAATTAAGGACCAACCATCTCTTGATAACCAAGAAAAACAAACACCAGACGGCTTTCCCATAGTTCCTTAGCACCGGAAAAAAGGCGGATGTGGGTTTTGGTACAATGTAAAAGAATGGCACCATACGAAACTTAGAAAAGATTCCGAATTTTGCAACAAAATCGAAAGCTTTTTAAAGCTTTGTAAAGGGTGTGGTGATGTGAGTTTTGGTGTGGGTGTGGATTTAAGTCTTCGTCTTACCCACACTCTCGCTCACACCAACACTCACATCCACACCCACACCCATACCTACATCCTCACACTTTTTTCTACCTCTTTGTCGTAGTTGCAGAACACCACTATGAAGATTGTCATCGATAATAAAAATTCATTTTCTTTCAGCCTTTCTGTCGTGGCAATAGGACAGCCCAAAATAAATTATAATTTATAATTACAACAGAATTTGTTTTTTTGCCTTTCTGCCGTAACTACAGGACACCCCTACATGAATTATAATTTAATATGCAAACATTTTTTTTTGACTTACTGCTGTTATTATAAGAAAGCTATATGTGAATTATAATTGATAAATCGAATAAATTGTTTTCTATTTCTCTGCCATAGTTCCAGACTAGCACTATGGAGATTGTTATTTATAATAAGGATTGAACTTTTTCCCACCTTTCTGGCCTATTTTTCGTGGAGCTCTATCTGAATTTCAATTTACAATTCACATTATTTTTTTTTTCATTTTTTTCTGCCGTAGTTTAGAACTCTCCTATGTAAATTATAATTTATCATTCGAATAAAATTGCTTTCTTGCTCTCTCTCTTAGTTCTAGAGGAGCACTGTGAGGATGGTGATGTATAATAATAATTAAATTTGTTTCGGTCTTCTGGCTTACCTTCAGAAGAGCCCAATCTGAATTTTATTTCGCAACAGAGGTAAAATTCTTTTCTGCGTTTCTATCGTAGTGAAATGACAGCCTTGTGTGAGTGATAATTTATAATTCTAATGAAACTTTTTTCTGCCTTTCGGTTGCAGTTATAGGGCAGCCGACTGCAAATTATAATTTATAATTGAAACGGAATATTTTTTTTTTGTTTCTGTCTATTATGATCTGGAATTGTTTTTCGCAACTTCATTTATATTCAAACTGGAATTAGGCATCTATTTTCTTAATCAGAGTATTTTATTGTGAATGTTTCTGATCTTATCATTGTTCCTATCTTAAGATACAGCTATGAGGATAACGTGAGTTTTACATCGTTCATATATACACTGGCACATTTGGCGTTTTTATTTCAGGATAGAAGCAAATCGAAAGGTTTGAATAGGGGTGTGGGTGTCCGCGTGACTGTGGGTTGGGTGTGGGTGCCAGCTGTGCGTGTGGTTGAAGATGACGTCTACCTTACACCCACACCCTTGCTTTTTGATGTTTATTAATTTTTTGGTAAGATGCTAAATAAAGCAAATGAAAGAATTGTAGTTGGATAAACTATTAGATGGTATTCGAGTTTCGACTAGAATGCGAAATACAGTACGAAGCACGAATCTTTCGAATTTTCGAAAAAAAAGGGTGTGGGTTGAGGGTGGGTGTTTGCTAATAGATGATGCACACCCACACCCAAAAATGTTGAATCATGCTTGAAAAAAAACCGAACAGAAGTAAGAGAAACGAGATACGTGATGTATTCGAAACATGGGGGAAAAGCGAGACTTCGTACTTCACTCGTACTACACTTGTGCTTCGCTCGTACTTCAGAAGTACGAAGTCTCGCCTTTTCCCCCTTGATTCGGACAATATCATTCGAAGAAAAATATTGACTCATGCTTGGAAAAAACCAAAAGAAGAAATAGAAAAGAAATACGCAGTAAATAGGCCTATGTCGTATATATAAGCTATCGCTTCTATCGAGATATTATCAATTCACATTTGGCAAAGAGCACAACATAATATTTTCCTGAGCATTCATCATTTATTTGTTTTGCAATATAGAGAGCAGCTGGTAACAGGTCAATCAATAAACAATCAATATCACAACGTTTCATCTAACAGTAAGTTTTAAAAATTAACAATCATTGAATTCTATGTAATTTTGTACAAATTGAGAAAATGACGACGATATATAGTAAAAAATAAGAAATTCACTTCTGTTTTATCACTAAATAGCAGACGGATTTGTATTGAATTGAATACAGATCAGCCTGTTTTTTTTTATTTGACCCGTTTTCAATGTTACACTTCTACTCTTTATTATGATCCTTATCGGTCTTCTTCTTTTTTAATGTTTTCACCTATCATAACACTCGCCTATGGTGCATCCTTGAACTCCTCACTATTGCTTTATTGTTAATTCATTAGTTTCATGTATTTTCTTATCTTTCCTCATTTATTGTCTTCATTATTTATTTTATCTTTTCTTCGTATTTTTCTTTTCCTTATTTTGCTCTTATCTCTCGTTTCTACGCTCTCTTCTTCTTTCTTTCTGTTAGAGGTGCTCGGGAGAGCGTCTCAACTATGTCCGTGGTGTAAAGTTCAGCATACACGTCTTCCATTTTATCATTGTTATAGTGTGGCATAGTTCTATACTATATTTTCCTTTCTTTCCTTCTTTTATCGTACTTAGATGATAAGTATCATACATCTTGGTATTTTCCATTGCATCATCTCTTTTTTGTCTTTTTCCTTCTGTAGATCATACATATGTTCCTCATCTAAGAGATACAGATGGATTCGGGTTCATTGTTCTATGGAACATTTCATCCGGTAACAATCATACATATTATTCTAGTGGCTTGTTTTTATATAGATGTGACTTTGTAGCTGTCATCACATATACTTCTTTCTTATGTATCGAATATGTATCGTTGATTACTAGGCAGATTATTTCTATTTCTTTTTGAATCAGATTAACTCAGTTGCCAGTTTCACTTCTTCCTCTGTTCTTCTCTTTCTCCCCCCTTTCATCCTCTCTTTATTCTGTTTTTCTCTGCTTCACTTTTATCTCAAGGTAAAAAGATTATTCATCTCTTATTCTCGCTTGTCTTGGTTTTTCTTCGATTTAGTTGGTTGATATTGTAATTAGAGCCTAGTTGAAAGAAATAAAGAACAAATAGCATTACAACAGTGTGACGAAATCATATTATCGAGTCTGTTCTTTTCTTTCACTTCTGTGTCGAAACTTGATAGCTTGTAGGACATATACATTGGTATTTTTTCTTTCTTTTTTTTCTATCACAGAGATGGAGATTCTCGCACGTATCAAGTCCATGGTTGTGTGTGAATGTACGGATATGGGTATGGATGATGATTTTTTCAGTATCTTCATCCCAAACCAACATCCTACATACCGAGAGAAAGTATTAGCTAAAAAGCAATTTATCAGTTGGCATATGTTTCTTGTTAGTTTTATAGAAAAAGAATACGTCCATTCTAATGACTATCAACTAGGGGATGAGAAGTTATTGTAATTTTTTGTTATTAATAACAATAACAAAAATGAAAATGATATTGATCCAAACAACAATAGCTTCTTACCCCTATAGGGAACTAAATTTAGCACCCATCATACTGTAGTCCAGTGTTCTGTGTTATACCAATATCTCTATAAGCATTGTACAGTTAGCAATTATTGTTCCTAGATGTCAACCTGCAATCCAATAGAAACTTTAGTTTAACTTCCATTATACCTATTGGTTGATTGAATTGCAAGAGAAGGCACGATTTCATCGACATTTATTAAAACATTCGACGTCATTCGAGTAAGAAGGAAAAAACCAACTACGTGTGTAAAAAAAACACTTTTTCTCAACGTAAAAGAGAGACACATACGTGGTAAATTCCAATGGTTTATCTTTTTCTCACAGCTATATTAGTAAGCAGATTTGCTATTGACATTCAGTGAATGAAAGTATTTGGTATTGCAATACATAACAGCATTTTAATAAATATAATCCAGAATTGAATTTTTCATGATTTTATGTTTGTTGATGCATTTTTCTGTTGTAGATAATGTCCGGTCTTTCTGATAGAGAGGTTTTGGCAAAAACAATTTATGGAGAAGCACGAGGTGAATCTCGTGAAGGTCAAGAAGCAGTTGGTCATGTAATCAAGAATCGAGCTCAAGCGAACAGGTCTGAGTGGGGTGGAAATAGCATCAGTGGTGTCTGCTTACAACCTAAGCAATTTGAATGTTGGAATGGTAGAGGTGACATTGAAATTAAGGAGCCAGGCCCATACGAACAATGCTGCCAAGTGGCCGATAGCATTTTAAATGGCAGTAGCCAAGATCCAACACGAGGAGCAGATCATTATAATAATCCAAACAAAGAACCTAATGCAGAGTGGCCTGAAAAATGCACTGTTCTGGGAGATGTTGGACAGCATCGTTTTTACAAAGGTCCCAACTGATGATTACCATCAAAAGCAATAGCTTGAACATTCAAATATTAATTCAGTTCTTTTTTTAAAATTCTTCTACTCAAGTAACTCTTATTTTAAATAAACTTTCAATAATCTAGAAATCTAAATCATGATGTGTAACAATTAATTGTCGTTTCTATTGCAAAAATATGTTTTCGCCTATACGTTGAATTGTATAATTATCAATGAACATCTTTGAGGGTGAGGGGAAGACAAGCTACCAGAATACAAATGTGTTTCATAATTGCTGCTAATAAAATTATCGAGTGGCAAGTACCAGGGTGTCGGTGTGTGGGTGAGTATGCGTGTAGGTGTGGGTGGGGACGTGTCTTGAGGGTGTGAGTGGTTGTGAGTGTGGATGAGTAAGGTGTTGGTATGGGTGTGGATGCCTCTTCATCCACACCCATTTTCATACCCACATCCACACCCACATCCACATAGACACACCCAACCTCGCACCCCATACAGCGAGCAGAAAAAGGGGGTAAAGAGCAATTTCCAGTTGCCAAATTTCTTTTGAATCGAGACTATATGCATTATGTAGGCTCTAATGAGCTATGAGTACCATGAAAAGAGTTCGTGCTTGTAGCTTATTTCTGCCGAGATATTTAATTTTCATGGCATTTCTTAGAAAAAAGCCGTGCTTCCTCTCTCAGGTTCATCTGAAAAATCAATTTTCCGATTTTGACTTGAAACTCTGCCCAGAGAAAGGTCTCAATGAGACTAATTTATTCTGAAAGTTTTGGATTTTTGGGTGTCTACCATCCCGAGATACGAGTATAAGAAAAACCATATTCTTTTTCACATCATCTATAGCACAAAATGTTAAATGTTCTTACTTAATGATAGGAGCAACCAAGAAATTTGAAACTTTCAGGATTAACTAGTCTTATTGAGACCTTTCTTTGCACAAAGTTTCAAGTGGAAATTCGAAAGTTGATTTTTCCGGTGAACCTGAGAGAGACTATGGTGTTGTGCTACAAAATGTCAAATATTTCGACAAGGGTTCAATGGCACACCTTTGCGCATCCACCGAAAATAGATGATGGTATGCTCTATCAAATAACAAACTAAAACTTGAATTAAAGTTCCGGGAAAATCCAGAAAACGAATTGCATTACTGGCTAGTAGCTGTTTTTCACTATACTAGGCCTAAGTTTTTGATCTTATTAGACCATTAAGAACTTCAAGAAGTCCCAATGTTCTGGAATATACAGCAAATATATAACATTGTATAACTATATAATAACTAATAAATATAATTAGATCCTCAATTTAAAACATAATTTACTTATACGGTTTCATTAATGATTTTCACCTATTTTACGTACTTTGTGGTACCCGCTGCTGAACAGATACTCACTATCCAGCAGTACCCAGGATGTACTTAAATGCAGTACCGTAGTAGCTTCAATGCCAGCTATGATATGGGCTCAGATCTCAAAAATCGATTTTGCCGCCTGGCTGTCCACTATGACCCACACCCCACACCTTACACCCGCACCTCCTTTAAAACATGATCGAATCTCTAACACTAATTAATTTTATTTTAATACCAAAAAGCTAGCACAATCATATTAAACATTGGCCTTAATTAAATCTGCTGCTCGCTCTACTATTGCAACTGTTCGAATATTTGTATTGTCCGAAACAATGCTTAGCATAATATTTGCATCAACTACACGTAGACCTAGGGTGTGGGGGTTGAATATAAAATCCACACCCACACCCTTCCTTAACTTTCCACAGAAATAAGCTTGATTTCGATTTTGTAGAGAATTTAATGGCGCATCTTTTGGAAAAATAATCAGCTCTAAAGATCAAAAAGAAAAAAAAAGTTATAGTCAAAACACTGAGAGGGTCATTCTTTATGCGCCACCCTTTAATAATATTTTACTATAGAAATTTACCAGTAAGTAAAGTATATCTAGGATATATTCGCTTCGAGAACTTGGCCGACACCGACTACGATCTATAAAGTCATAGAAGAGGAACAACAAGCGTTTTAGGAAGGCAAATTATTTGTCTAAATTGAAAGAAACTGCGTAAAAAGACTGACATAAAAGTTAAGGTATTTCTCGAGTATCAAGCACGTCAGGGCAGGTTATAGATTGTCAAAATACCATGTCCTGCAACCCTCTAACCAGTGTCACTTATCACATAAGATAACGTTATAATAGCCAATTTAAAAGAGAGGAGGCTCTTGGTTAAGTTGTTCCGCATGCAAACCTGCCACTCGTTTGGAGTTAGACATTATGGCTTCAAGTTCTGCTGATGATATAACGTCAGACAAATGTTCAAAGCCGTCTGGAGCACGTTCGTGGACGACTTTCAGAATCTCGTCACAACTATATTGTCGAGAAGCTAGAACCACAATATTTGAAGCTGGACGGCGAAGATCATCGTATGCTTGAAGACCTTGGAGAGTAACACCGTGCTGACGAAAGGAAAGAATGAGCCCACGAGCATCGAGAATGGCTTGAGAGGCTCCGTTACCTCCATACGGATACATTGGATGAGCAGCATCACCAAGTAAAGTCACACGATCATGTGTCCATCGAGGTAAAGTATTACGATCAGTCATCGGAAATTTGTTGATAATCATTGACGACTGGATGATATGATGAATGTCAACAAAGTTAAGTTTCATGTTCGATATTAACGGAAGAAGATCTTCAATGTGACCAAGATTATTCCAATCAGGTGCCGCTGGTGAAATTTGCATATTTGGATCTTCAACTCGAACCAGACAAGTCCAATTAATGACATTCTTGCTAACATGACCCATGACCAGTTGCACATCATTTGGATCTCCCATTACAATCAATGATCGTCCGTCCAGGAGGAGTTTGTCCGTTTGTGTCACACCACGCCATATGGTGACACCACTCCAAAGAGGACGTCCTTCGTCAGGATATAAAATCTTACGTACAGTCGAATTAATTCCGTCAGCACCCACGAGTACTTTGGCCAGTTCGGTATTTTGATCACCCGTAGATGGATTGACAAAATCGACTTCCACATGGTCCGAAACTGATCGAAACGCCACTAACTTCTGGCTAAGACGAATAGATGTCTCGCCTATTTCATGACGTATATGACGAAGTAAAAGTTGTTGAAAGTTACCGCGATGCATCGAGTACACAGGCCAGTTGTAACCAGCTTCAATGCCGGTCGGTTCTTCGTAAATAAGCTGTCCATGACGTGAATAGAAAAAAGCCTTGCTTCTGCGAATACCGACTTCATCCAAATCATGTTTGAGTCCAAGCTCGTACAGTAATTTCACGCAGTTTGGATGAAGACCTACGGCAAACCCAATTGACTCAAGTGCTTGCACTCGCTCATGAATGCGAACAGAGAATCCCTCACGATGCAAGCATAAGGCAGTGATGAGGCCACCGATTCCGGCTCCTGCGATGATCACATCGACCATATCTGAGCTCACTTTCTTTGCTTCATTGTTAGCAGTTGGTGTGGAGTTCGGCGCTTGCGATACAGTGATACACGTATCCGGCTGATTGGACTTTATAGCACTCATTATTATACGTAAATCTACGAAGACATTCATAATTTATAATTGACTATGGGTGATGAATGATTAGTTCATTTACGAGAGGACAATGTATGTGTTATCAATCATTCTACATATACAAGGAACGATTTTACTTCAATGATCGATTTAGTTCCTCTCAATTTTTACGACATGTTGAGCAGAAATAACTTGACTTTCAAAAAAACTTGATTTTGATCAATTTTCGCTAGACTGACGGGTTTTTGAAAATCTGAGTAACCACATTTGGCTGCTCTTTGATACCTCAAACTGGTCAGTTACCGAAAAGTCACGTTACTAAGTAACTGGAAGTTACTGATAACTGCCGATGGGTTTTTGTTTGTGCTGCTAGTCTCTTTAAATCATTTTTCCGATACGATGCGTCACTCATGAGGGAACCTCTCGAGGTGATCAACGCCGATCCAACTTGAGTTATACTCGTTTTATTGAAATTTTCAGCTGTAGCCAGGGATAGAGTGAAAAAGTCAATGACCATATTTTGGTCTGAAATTTCGCGTACATAGAGGTCTTAAAGTCATTAGAATATTCTGAAAGTTTCATCAAAAACGAATGTGTGTTTCTTGAGATAATGAATTTGCAAAAACTACCAATATACTATAGTGACCTGTCAGAAATCGAGCTTACTCGCAAATTCATTATCTCAAGAAATATACATTCGTTTTCGATGAAACTTTCAGAATATTTTAATGACTTTAAGACCTCTATGTACGCGAAATTTCAGACCGAAATATAGTCATTTACTTTTCCACTCTATCCCTGACTACAGCTGAAAATTTCCATAAAACGAGTATAACTCAAGAAGTAGCTCCCAAGAAAGTACGAACACTTTTAGGCTTTTTCTAGTCTCACTGAGCACTACTTATGGGCAAAATATCAGTTGGATCGGCGTTGATAACGTTGGAAGGTTTCCTCGTGAGATATTTATTTTGTACAACTAAACTAGGGTGTTTTCTGACATGAAACAGACAAGACTCTTCTTTAACAGCTATCTTCTGAATTTTTATGCAGTCGATGGACTGTTAAGATAGCCGAGATTCTATTCCTCTATATATGGTAATAGTCCAACATTGTGCAATACTGAATTACTACTCCTTTGAGAAAAAAGCAACACCAGTTTTGTTCACAATTGAAACATTCGTAAGGATTCCATCTTCTTTCATTGCGTCAATAGAAGGAAAGAAAAAACCTTTCTTCTCACTCATACGCAATCACACGAAAACTTTCCCTTGTATTTTTCGATTGTCAATAACACTGACTCTATGCATAGACGATGCAGCCTGTAGAATCAAAATGAAAACCAATGCGTTCATTCTTGACTCTCCTGTTATTCATTATCAAAGCAGTCTAGAATTGCCAGATAACGAAGTTTAAAATATGTGTTCCTTACTTTGTATCTCGCCAGAGAGCGAATTTTTAT